TGACTGGGGAACTTGGCAAAAAGGGACACCACACAAGTTGGGCAAAAATATAAAATATTCCACCACAATACTGACTCAACAGATGTTATTAATGCACAACACTAAAGTCAGAATCCAGTCCCTCCATGACACTTAAGTCAAGATCCAACCCCTCCAGCTCCAAGCAACCCAAAGCAAAAAGGAAGGGGCAAGGAAAGAGAAGCAGAGGGAGCAAGAAGAGAGAAGGAGAAAGAGGAAGAGGCAGATCATGGAGCTGCCACTGGAACCTCGTGGCAGACCAGCTCTCACACATCCAGATGGCAGGGACACGTGGCAAACATGTGCCTTTTGTTTCATCTGCTCTGGTCCCCATGGCCAGACCCTCCAGGTCCCATTGGCCACTCTGGGGTTCCAGGGCAGGGTGAGGGGCAGTGTCCTCACTGTCCATGCCAATCTGAGCTGGGTCAGGGGCTCCAGGAGCTGTGGGGTGTTACAGGGCAGTGTCCTCACTGTCCCTGCCAATCTGAGCTGGGTCAGGGGCTCCAGGAGCTGGGGGGTGTTATAGGGCAGTGTCCTCACTGTCACTGCCAATCCAAGCTGGGTCAGGGGCTCCAGGAGCTGTGGGGTGTTATGATTTTCCAGGGCTGTTCATGAGTGTCAGTACTCCAGGGCTTCTCCAGGGGCTGCCATGAGGGACATGAGGCCACCCCACCTCCTTGAGGTTGAACCCATCCCTTCCCCCTCTACACAACCCCTCCACACACACCCCCACAACGTGGTTCTGACCCAATAATTACTCCTCTGGTGTCTAACAGTGGTGCCTCAGGAAGTCCTGTGCCTTTATTTCTGTTGCCTTATAGGAGAGCGTGGGGTGGAGGGAGGGTCAGTACCTTAATGGGGAAGCAGGGGGGCTTGAAGGCACAGTCAGTGTGGCACAGGAGCTCCAGGCTGGCTCCTTCCCCGCTGGCAGGGGCCAGGTCTATGTCATGGTTGACCCACTGGCCCCAGTGCATGAAGACCAGAGAGAGCTCCTGGTCTGCAGTGACGTTCTCGTTGGCCGTGTGAGCGATTTCGTTGGACACTTTCCGAACCTGCAGGAGGGAAAATGTGTGTGACTGTCTCTGCCATGGTGAATTCGCCCCTCAAACACCCACTGTGAGACCACAGAATTGCTGAATCAGAGTCACTTGGGTTGGAAAAGACCTCCAAGATCATCAAGTCTGACCTTGGACCAAGTATCCCCATGCCCACTAAACCCTGTCAAAGTGCCATGTCTGCCTGGTTTTTGAACACCTCCAGGGATGGCAACTCCACCACCTCCCTGGGGATCCTGTTCCAATGCTTCACCACTCTTTCAGTGAGAATTTTTTCCTGATATCCAACCTAAACCTCCCCTGGTGCAACTTGAGGTCTTTTCCCCTTGTCCTGTCACTTGTTACCTGGGAAAAGAAGCCAACTCCCACCTCTCCCCGACCTCCTTTCTGGTAGCTGTAGATCATCATGAGATGATCTTAGATAAGCTCATAAGAGTTAATTATGGCATTGAACAGATCCCTGTCATTCCCAGCTCTATCCAAACAGGTGTTATAAGTAGGAACCCTCTTAACTCCTCAGTCCTTCAGCCAAACTTGTTTTCATGGAAAACCTGTTATGGCTAAAACTTCTTCGTGCAGACAGCCAGGAAGTCAAGGAGATGGCCGAGGAACACCCCAGCCTTGTGGTTTGTACAAGTGTCCTGGTGTACCAGGTGTATCCTGGTGTACCCAGCAATCCCTGGGCTGTGCACTTTGGAAATCACTTGGTGGAGTGTTCCCAACCTTTTTGCCCATGTCTGTCTCCAACCAAAAATATCGCCCCAAGCCATGACTCAGTTGTAGAAAACCAGCCTCAGAGCAGCTCCTGAGATCAAAAATCAACGATTCCCACTCCAGATATTGCCACTGTTTCCCTTCAGATGGGTGCAGTGAGGGCAGTGTCCACCCTGGGAGCTGGATTAGGGTAAGGGTCTCACCAGGGGGAGTGGGAATCCGTTGTAGTGCCTTCCTTCACTTGCTCCTCTGGGAACAGACACTCCGTCCTCGTACACTGCCGGGAGCCAGCGGGCAAACCCACGGTTGGAGGACCCCAGGTGAGGGTGTCTTCTGCAGCATCACCGGGAAAGCAAACACTGTCATCATTTCAAACACAGAAGGTTTGTACAGACTAACATTTCACAGCCCTTTAATCCATGTCTGATCACTCTGGTCACACAGGTGAGAGCAGGAAAACACTAAGAAGCAAATTATACCAATATTAATTACTGCAGAGAAAAATGAACCTTTTTGACATTAAAAAAACCCACAAAGCATTCCTCATGCCGTTATATTAATTTCATTTGGTATTTATTTCTACCTTAATTTTACTTGGCATTTAAATCTCCGTAGCATCTCTGTCCCCCACAAAATCAGCTTCACAGCAGGGCCCTTTCACAAATGATCTTAAGCCACCTGCCCTGGGTCAGAGTACACATTTAAGACCCTCCTTGTCCACACACAAATCCCACCTGTTGTTGCACTCCCCGGTGATGGTCCGATAAATGTCCTGCTTTGGGCATTTAATGGGACGAGTCTGAGAGTAACAACCGGTGCCTCTGAAAATCATCTCCTTCTGCTTTCTGCTTAGCAGGTCTGCAAGAGAAACCATGGAAAGTAACATCTGATCCCACTCTTTTTTTTGTTGTTTTAGCTTCTTGGTGTTCCAGGTGAACGTTTGAACCAGCTGAGTCAGAGCTGTAGGTATCCAGCATCTGGGTTTGAATTGTTAATTCGGAGCCTAAACCCTTCTGTGGATCAGCTTTCACCTCTGGATTAGGGAAACTGAGTGGGCATGGAACAACTTTCCAGGGGAATATGGGGAGCACCATCACCAGCAAGGGTTTATCCTAGGCTGGGAGCAAAATGATGAGTTTGGAGAGTGGTACAAGCCAGGTGTGAGGGCCAGAAGTGAAACATGGATGGTTCTCAGTGGTCAGAGTCTCCTGGTGGTCAGAGTCTCCTGGTAATCAGAGGGTTTTGTCTCAGGTTTATCACACTTATTGTGAGCCTGCTTTTATCATCAAAGATAGGAGATGATAGGAGATGATGCCAAAGATGCCAGGGCTCTGCTCTGCCTCTATTCCCCCGGGGCTGTCGGGGGGAAGGTTTTTATCCCCAGTTATTCGGGTCATGGCAGAGTTGCTCCCTGACACTCCTGCTGTGGCACATTTTCTGCTCTCAGCTGCTTGTAAAACATTTTGGTTTAAACCACGTTACCTGTGACATTGAATCTCTGCTCCCCAGAGAGATGCAGTTTCCTTTTGAGGAGTTTCAAAGTAGTTTCCATGTAATCAGCAGCCCGGACTGCAGACCTGGTTCTTCCCACAGGGTCCTTAAGGTGCTTCAGGAAATCCATTGGGTTGGCAAGCTTTTCCTCCAGTTTTTTCTTTAAGCTGAACATAAAAGAGTCCCATGAAGTGCCTTCTCTGAAATCAGACCTCCTCTGTCAGGCTGGGCTGGGTGTAATTAGTCGTGACAGCACTGCTGGGTCACAGGCAGGCTCTGCCCACATGGGACAAACTGTCTGTGCATCAGCACGTCAGCTCAGACAATCTGGGCAAACAAATCACTGTGATGCCCAACTCTGAGCCTGCATTACTGCCTTGTCACAATAAATTTTGTTATATCAAGTGGAAATCCAGATCAATGAACTGTGACTGGATAAGCCTTTACATTAAGTGTGTCGCAAGATGTGTTCTGTGAGCAGAGGGACAACCTCGCTCCTGTTCCATCTCTTCCTGGTCCCATGGCTTTGTCTTGCTACTTCCATAGGGTGGGTGGAGAGAGGGTCCTTCCCAAACCATCCTGCTGCCTGGAAAGCAGCCTTCTGGGACAATACACAGAAGATACCTGAGGTCTGACTTTCTCTGAGGCTTATTTGTGACGAGATGCCCATCTACACAGTTGTGGTCCTTCTGGAGAGGGGCAGAACTCCAGCAGCCAGGAGAGGACTCACGTGCCTGGAATGTCCATTCCACTATGGACTAGTGAGAGGTGCCCATGGTGGTCTAGATGAGGAAGTAATAACTGAGGGGGATGACAAGTGGCCCTGGGACTGAGACAGAACATTAGAATGCAGCCAAACGGGGCAAAAGGATCCCTCCCACTATGCCAACGAGAGCCCTGGAACAAAGGCTGCTCCATAAGAAATATGCATTGGAGAAGAGAAGAAACACCCATATATTTGATCCTATTTCCTTATAATATGGGGGCTCTCGTGCAAAAGGGACTCACCTCCTTCGGGCCTGTAAATATGCTGTGTCCACCAGCTGCCTGGCCTCACTGATGATGCTCAGAAGAGACGAGTCTGACAGCACCTCTGAGACCTCTGCTCAGGAAAAAAAAAAGAGAAGAAAAAGCAGAACTTGAGGGTACCGTGTAATGTACCCCAGGAGCAGCACCTCCCACACCTTTGCTGGGTGTTGTGCTGCTCTGATCTGCCTCACACGTCCTTCCCATGGGGTGTTCAGTGACACCTGCACACCCTTGTCTGTGGTTCTCCTGCTCATCTGCCTCATTGCTGAGGTCCTGATAGTCACAGTCTTTGTTCTGGTGGCTTTTGGAGGCTTTTAAGGAGCTATTTTTCATCCTTTTTTTTCCTGAAGCTGCTAGAAGCACAGACTCTGTAAGGCTGGAAAAGACCTCTGAGACCATGGAGTCCAACCACTAACCCGGCACTGCCAAGGCAACCACTAGTGCCACATCCACAGGCTTTTTGAGCACTTCCAGGGATGGTGACTCCACCACTGCCCTGGGCAGACTGTTCCAATGCTTTCCATGAAGAAATTGTCCCTCATATCCAACCTAAACCTTCCCTGGCACAATTTGAGGCTGTTTCCTCTCATCCTGTCCCTCATTCCATGGGAGCAGAACCCAATCCCCCCCGGCTCCTCCCTCCTGTCAGGGAGTTGCAGAAAGTGAGAGGGTCCCCCCTGAGCCTCCTTTTCTCCAGGTTGAGCCCCCCCAGCTCCTTCAGCTGCTCCTGCTGCTCCAGCCCCTTCCCCAGCTATTCTTCCCCTCTCACAGGAAATAATAAATGCATACAAGAAGCCAAAAATATGATCTCTGAGCCATGACCCCTGTCACTAAAGGGTGATCATATGCTTGGAAAAGCTGTTGGTTAAATCAGGAATTTCTTTCAGGAAGTTTCTTAGGTATTGACTTCAGTGTCAGTGGGTCAATCTCCAGGATACTGCAGTTGTTTCTTGGAGCTGTATCTCACTGGGAACTCGGGTTGAGTTTCCATTCACACCCTTCCCAGCACAGCAGCAGCCAAAGGACAAACACAAACTCACCATTCAGTGAGGAGTCCGTGGCCCCGACCAAGCAGAGGGTGATGATGGATCCTAAGAGAGTCATTCTTGGGTTTATGCCTGGAGAGAAATGCAACACAAATCCTCTGGATAGGCAGGGCTTCACTGAAGCATCAGGAGAGGTTTGGTTTGAGTATCTCTTTCAGGATCCAGGAATAAAATCCAGCTGCCCTCTCTCCAGCTCCGTCAGCAGGACCTACAGAGGTGTTGGCAGCACACAAGGACATCCCTGTGGTGTGGGACCTTCAGGAAACTGGGCTGAGGAGCTGCCAAAGAGGAGGCAGCCAAGTACAGTCCAGCTTCAGTGATGGAGAATGTTGGGAAGGCGTGATGGAAGAGGGAAGTGTCCTGCTGGCCTGACTTCGGGAATGTCCACAAGTGGCTGGTGGAAAGGAGGTTGATCCCACACATCCCTCTCTGCCCCCTCTGTCTTGCTACTGAACAAAAGTTGCCACAGCTATCACCAGTCCTCCAGCCTCCAACCTCCCCTCTCAGCCTTCCTGCTGCTCCCTGAAATTTGCCTCTATTCCTTTCCCCCATAAACACCAGAAGTCTGTCCTCCTCAGTGTCTCTCACCAGTGCCTTCCCTCAAAGGGGATTTTTAGCCAAAACGTTGCCATTAGATCTCATTTAAGTAATTTAGTCAACATTTTAACGTTTTGGAACAGGGAAGACAAACAGAATTTGGAAGAACTAATGATTTTCTCGCAGTGGGGAAGGTTATCTTATATTTTTTTGTGGAAATTCTTCAACCATCTTCCTGGGGATTGAAAGCTGCTTATTCTTGCAATTTGATATTGCAGGGTATTGCTGCACAAGGCAGGGAAGCTGTCTTTGCTCACTTCTCCCAATAAATTCAATAAATATCAGGGGAGAAGCAATTATGAAGGACCAGCAGCTCCTAATGCTCTACTCTGCCTCCCATCTCCTTGGGAGATGGAGCCCTGGAATGCACCAATATCCACACCAGAAATATCAGATACAGATATAAAATGAAAAGGCATTGATCTTACCTGCCATCTCTGCAGCACTGGCAGGGCTGGGAAACAAGCCAGACCTTTATACACCTGCACCAGGGCAGAAATGAGCTGGGTCTGACCTGGGCGTGGCCAAAAAGGGAGAAACTGGGACCACAGCGAGCCAAGAGGAAATATCTGCTGGTTTGCTTTCCTGGAATAAGCTGAAAAGTGCCCACTTCTCCATTCCCTCTGAGTAAATGTTGACTTCCTTTTTGAAAAATCAGTAAAAGAAGGATAAAGACACTCATTTCTTACCTGCAGTTGAGAGATGAGCTTAACTTTATGATGGTAAAAGTTAATGGTGGAATTGGACTTCTTTTTCCCTGTTGGTTGGCTGATTAGAGCTGCTGATTAGCGAGGGTGACAAAGGCTGGACAAAGAACGAGGCAGCTGCAGGACTGAGAGGTCTCCAGGAAAATCCTGTGAATAGAAATATGGACAATCCCAAAGTTCTAACTGTGCCAATGCCCAGAAAGGAACAAAGTGCTGAGCACTTCAATGTGAGTTATGACAGGGTGGTTAGGAAGGAATTCCTGGCTGTGAGGGTGGGGAGGCCCTGGCACAGGTTGCCCAGAGAAGCTGTGGCTGCCCCATCCCTGGGAGTGTCCAAGGCCAGGTTGGAGCAACCTGGGATAGTGGGAGGTGTCCCTGCCCATGGCAGGGGGTGGAATGAGATGATCTTTAAGGTCCCTTCCAACCCAAACAAGTGATTCAATGATCTACAGGAGGAAAAGGGGCAGTACTTCAGTGGACTAACGGGAAGGCAGCAGAAATCCCGTAATCCTTCGGACATCAGGGAGCCTGATAACCAAAGACAATGCTGAATTCTTACTGACAGTCAGCCTTGTAAATCTCCCAGGATCAGGGAGCCAGTCCTTCCTACTGTTTAAATATTTTCACAGCTCTTATCGACCCAAAATAAATAAATAAATAAAGAATATATGAGAAAGGAAACTGCCACTGGAAAGACACCATTTTAAATCTGAATAAAACAAAAAAAAAAAGAAGACGCGTGGTGACCGGGTTTTCAGAAGGTGAACACTCAAAGTCAATATTTCTCCCCTAAAGAGAATTTCAGAGCCAAAGCAGAAGGTGGCCCCTGGCACCAGAGGGTCTCTGATCACCCTGCCAGGCGCTCCACCTTGTCCATCCAGCTTTCTGCCCACAGAACACGCACAGGCAGAAGTCCAGGTACCTGCCAGGTGGTTTTGCTGCTTCTTTAGTATCTGACATGTATCAGGGCAATGGCATTGGTGCCTCTGCTGAGGACACTGCCCTGCCTGACCATCCAGGAACCACTTGGGCAGTCCCTGAGCTGGGGTCAGGGGCCCTCCCCAGTGGGAGGCCACAGGGATGGGGTGAGGGACACTCAGAGGCACAGCAGGAGCCAACAACCCTCAGACTGTGAGGGTATAAAAGCCCAGGGTGTCCTTCAGTCAGGGGCCCTTCCCAGAGGCACCAGCTCAAGCTGTTGTTCTGTTGTTGCACCAGGATCAAATTATTTTAAGGATCTGGATCTCTGAGACTCTGCCTTGGGAAACCTGGGGCAGGGCTGGTGAGGAAACCTGGTGTGACTGGGGGGTGGTGTGGGGTGTGTGGGGAGTCAGGTGGGGTCACTGGAGCTGCCCCCACAGGAAGGGGCTTCGGTCCCAGTTCAGGTGGTGTGAGCACTAAAAAGTAATTTTAACTCTTTCTGGATAAAGGGAGTGACAGCAACAGCAAGGGATGCTCAGGAGGTGGCACCACAGCATCACTGAGGTGGTCACTTGAGGGGTGTCCCCAGCTGTGTGATGCCCAGGAGTGAAATTATCACCTCTCTTTGAAGCCCTCCTTTAAAGACTCAGCTCCCAAGGCTATGAAGCCTCTTTGGTGCATCCTTCCATCTGCCATGGAGACACTTCATAGCCACTGCAAGGTGCTCCAGGAAAGTCTCTCACAGAAACAGGTGAGCCCAACAGCCTGGGAATACACCTGGGAATGACCAGTGAGGTCAGGCTGCTTGGAGTCTCTTTCCAGACCTACTTCAAGAAGCAGGTGAAGTGTCCAGGGCAGGAAAGCTGTGGAAAACCATCTGTGACTTTCCAGTACAGTGGTAGGACCCACCACACCCACCAGGACAAGCCACTGCACGTCCACCCATGGAAAGAGCTCATCTTACAGGGCCCAAATGAGCAGCAGCAAGAAACTTCTTCCCCATGGAGAATTCTTCCCTGGGGACTGGGCCCTTATTCCCCTTCCCATGGACCAAACTCCCTTCCCTCTCCCTGAATAAAACCTTCAGCTCCTCCTCATGAACCAAACTTCTTCCTGCCCCCCCCTTTAGCAAACCCCTCTTCCACCCCTTCCCCTTCTCTTCCAGACTGTCACCCAGACTGGAAGGTGGGACGTGACTTCTCTGGAGGTGGGACTGGCAGGACTAGAAGGAGACCTCAGCTGCCTCTTGTGCCACACAGCACGATGGATTCTCCATTTTCCATGTAATCTTCCTGCTGTGGAATCAGTTCCCATCTTTTCTGGAAACCTGGGACAAGGTAGAAGCAGTTGTCAGGCCCCTGGAAAGACACCGGGAGAACGCTTGGCTTCAAATGCTGCAGAGATCTATTTAGGAAAAGGAAGAATGGAAGAAGCTTCAGGTCTCACTGCAGTTTTCATTGTGCCACAGAGCTGGGAGATGTGGGAGTCAGTCACTGCCATGGACACTTCTCCCTGGACCACAGCTTAACCTCTAGAGAGGCTGGATGTGTGAATAGATGTAGAAAGGATCACAAATTTTGTGGTTTGGTTCAGTGCTTCAATGCTTAACCCTGTGAAGGAATGTCTGTATGGACAGAGCTTGCAGGGGTTCACTGGTATTCCCAAGGCATAATGTTGATCCTCATGTGGATCCTCTGGATCATCCTATGCCATTGTGTGGCAACAGGGACATGCTGGTTTATGGGGAGGGCAAAGTGTCTTTACCATGGCACCAAGTGATGGGATGCAGCAGTGGATCATGGAATCACAGAACCATTTATGTTGGAAAAACCCTTTAAGGCCATCAGGGCCAACCAGTCCCCCAGCACTGCCAAGGCCACCATTAATGATGTCCCCAAGTGCCACATCTTCACATCTTTTAAATACTTCCAGGGATAGGGACTCCACCACTGCCCTGGGCAACCTGTTCTAGTGCCTGACCAGAAATTTTTCCCAACATCCAACCTAAACCTCCCCTGGCACAGCTGGAAGCTGGTTCCTCTTGTCCCTGGTTGTAACACTGTGTGCTGGGTCCAGCAAAGCTGCTGCTCGAGCAGGACTGTCCCTGTTCTCTGAAACTCAGAAGAACAAAGAGTGAAAACGAGAGTCTGAACCTTTTGTTGAGGAAGAAGCTCTGTCTCCTGACACACCTTGTGGTTTTCTCTATTGCATAACACTGCAAAGTGTCATTTATTACAAGAGAAGAGCTGTCAGCTCTCTGTTGAACTCCGACTTTTCTATAAACACATCCCGTTCTTTCTACCAGGCAGGATTGTTTTGTCTGTAAATATCACAGGAATTGTAGGTTCTTTGCCAATGACACAAGATTAGAGAAGTAAATTCTGACCAGTGTAATGAAAGTGGGAGTCCAGCCAGGATGCAAAACCAGCTGGGGGATACAGTGTCCCCCAGTCTCCTCCAGACCCTTCTGTTGGAGCTCTCCAGACCACACCTTTCACCCTCCTTCAAATCACTCTTTCAAGCTCTGGTCCCCTCCAAGCCCCTCCATTAGGGTACCACTGATCTCCAGGTCCCTCTACTCCTACTCTGGTTCTCTCCAGGTCCTTCCATTGGGGTCTGGACCCATTCCATCCTTTTCATAGGCACTGTGGACCCCCCCAGAGCTGTCGTTTTGGGGTCTGGAAACGTGCAGGTCCCCGAGGGTAAATCCTCACGGGAGGGACATGGGGTGCCAGTGACATATCAAAGGCCAGTTCTTGGACACAACTCTGGGAGTTCAAAGAGGGCTTTGGACAAGTTCCCAGAGCCAGCTGCCACCAAACCAAGAATAGTGTTTCCAGGACTCTCCTCCAAATAG